TTTGAGGAGTCTCTAACATATGCTTAATCATCTCTTTCAAGAGACACATATGACACATTATGTTTCCATTCAAAGTTTGATAAACTGATGATCAAGAGTTTTGTACAACAGTACCTTGAGGCAAATGTTTAAAGAATCAAGATGCTAAAATAGCAAATTTAAAATTAGTACCATGTTACCATGAACTTTACTGGAACACTTAAAATATATACATTTTAAACACAGATTTTATTAAATTTTTAAACAAAATTTTTTTTACAATTACAATTTCAGGCAAGATTCATTGATTGAAACAAGTGAAAGAGGCAACATGAAACTATGCATTTGCTAATCTAATTTATGTATCGTACATATACTAGAAAGAAAAGGCTACAGAGAATATTTAGTATGGTTTCAAGCAAGAGAGTTGGAGTGCCAAAATCCCTCCCATATTTTAAGTCATAACACTTAATTTTCTAATCTATTTTCTCAATTTCACTAGATTTTCATAGATACTTGATTGTTTTCCTTAAATGAAAAACTAAACAACCTTTAATTCTTTTCAAACTCTTGCATCAGTCTCCAAACACAATTACAAAAATGTGCCTCAAAAAAAGAAACACTAAATCAGAGTACGTACGCCTTTCTACCACCAAAGCTGCCTTCTAACATTGCAACCTTGAAGAGGGGACCAAAGTGTTAGAAGATCGGGGGCAAAGGCGCTCCGTGAGGCGGGGAAGGGGAGCTTTCGTCTTAAATTGGGGTTCGGGGGCAGGGCTGGATTAAGGCATGGGCGTTAAGGGCTGCTGTCCGGGGACCTCAACCATTTGGGGGGCTCTAGAAAAAAAAAAAGGCCGTCCGAAAAAAATAATAATAAAAGACCCTCCTCGTTATGCAGCCACAAGTGACGCTGACTGGTTAAAAATCTATGTACATCGGTAATAATACAAAAATGTACGTTTGTGAAGCGACTTATCCACTTAGATCCGCTATTGTTGAGGGGCCTCTCGGTTCTTCTTTGTTTTCTTTCTCTATTCTCTGAGTCCCCTCAGTTATTGCGTCCCAGAGCCCTTGGCTCACTGTCTCAATCCGGCCCTGGCAGGGGCAAAGAGAGAGGATGAGAGGCCGGCTCAAAACGGGCGCTAGCAGGCTGTGTCTAGCGCCGCGAGCCCGCGCCACTTGCAGCACAGCTCGAAGAGAGAGAGAGAGAGCCCAGAGTGCACAGACTTGTGAAAGCAGACCCGCCCAATTCCATAATCGTTTTATGGTTCTCGCAGGTAAAATCCGCTAGTTCTGACCATAATGGCGTTGTTACGGCGACAAAGAAATGGTAGGTCCACCCTGGGTGACTTCAATATAAGAATGGCACCAATTGAAATGCAATTTTAACGGCGCATTAATTAATTATACATTTTTATGATCTGTAGTTATTACGAAAAAAGGGGCAATAATATTAATTACAATACATTTTAATTAATGATTTTATTATTATTATTAAATTCAGTTTGATGTTGACATTTTTAGAAGAAAGGAATAATCTTAACCTACGTATTTTCTTTTTTAGTAAAAATATTTATAGAACAATTTATAATATATTTTTGTGTAAAATGTATGTGTATCTCGGGAGAGGGGAGTAAACAGTTTAGCTACGCCACTGTGCTGCTGTCGAATATTCTACTATCAACAATTTCACCTGATCAAAGCATATATGTAATATATCTTGAGATTTTTCTGACAAAGAAAAAAGTTACCAAACATGAAATTTGAAATTCATTAGCCAAGCAGTTAATATAGCATATTTTGGAATTATTTCAGTAATATTTAATTTTTATTAAATTTCCTTAAAGATGAATAATCTAATAATTGAATACAATTAAGATAGCTGAAAAACTAATATAAGTAATTTATATGCCATTACGTTTACATGCTCAAGGAATAATACAAAAATTAATTTAAGAAAACGTTTTTAAAATAAGAAATTTGTTCCGCTTTAAAAAAAAACAACAATAAAATTTAGCAAAGCTGTTAAAACTATTAATTTGTGATCATTGCTGAATTCGCAGAGCTCTTCTTGCAAGCTGATCATGCGTTGTATCCCTAGCGGAGAATTCCATCTTATTTTCAAAAGTTCGTAATGAAAGGGATGGGAGTTTTGAGGGGCCAGCATACAACACAAATGGTGGCCGAAGTTTGATTGCTTACTGCACCTCTGTAGAACATGTAAGAAAGTAGCCATATAATTAGAAATATTTTCCAGGAACGCCTGACCGCTACAGTAATCTAATACACAAAATAAAAATCGTATTTAAATTCTTTAAACCGCTTAATTCCAAATCGCTCTCACGCGCGCAAGTACATTTTGGGTAGATAAAAAAAGTCGATGCCCTTACAACGCCGGCAGCGCTCATAGGTGTTGACCGCGTGAATTGTGATTTTCGGCCAAACTGTGTCAGCACCTTGTGGCAGTCAGTCCACAGTGAGCCTGCTTTCATGTTTGAGGCTCCGGCGGTAAAATGTTTGTCTCCGTGCGGCAACGGCTCCGTGCGGACGCTACTTGTGCTGCTGTTGTTTCTGCGGTGCAGTTCAATTCCTTATCATATGAAGTACGACCATGCCTCGCGTGTTACCTTCAATGAGCAGGAAAGTGATTAGCATGACATTGCTCGTCTTTAGTGTAAGGTCGTTACAGAATTCATTTTACTAAATGAAACAGAATAAAAAAGAAATAGATAAACTTTTCTGTTCAGCTGCGTTCCTATTGCAATTTTACTATTTGCTCGAATTCAAAGCAATATTTCACCATTATATGGAAATTGACATCTACTGAAATGTTACAGTGACTTCAATAATCGTTTTATTCTGCACTAGAGAAAAAAATCAAAATAATATGACAATTGCTTTATTTAACGTGATGTGATCGAACTTGCATGAAAGAATGATCAGATGCTGCAAGACAAAATTGCGAGGGAAAACATCATACCGCTGAATTATTTTCACATTGCAACAAAAGCTTTTTTTCTTAAGTTTTTTTCCGAATTGTAATACAAATTTGTGGCAAAAATGTTTGTTGTTCCAGAAATACTGAAATTTTGTCTTTTCGATGGATGTGAAGACAAGTCTTGTGTGGACACAGCTGTATGGTTTTTCAGTTTACAAGTGGACTTCTTATTTATTTTTAAGATGAAATTGCATCCTAATATTTTTGAAAATTCGGAATTCTGACTTACGCCTTGTTATTCATTTCACGTTTCCTGGTCGCAAGGTAACACGCGCACACGTCAACAAGAACCTATCGAATCAGAAGTTCTCAACAAACGCCGCTCCCATTTCGAACGCGCGACATTGCAAAACGCCGGCGCGCTATCCATCGGCGAGCGCCGCAACTAGTGCGGGGTCTCTTCGGGCGCTATCCATCGGCGAGGTCCGCAACTAGCGCGGGCGGTTCCTCGGTGCGAACCAACACGCGGAGCGAGGCAGGTAGGGTTGGGGCGGCCTACGACTCGACGAGCACGTGCCAGCGGCTAATCTGCTCGCCCCGCACGTCGCGCATGTCGTTCCAGTGCGCCAGCTCCTCCTCGCCCGACGAGTTCAGCCCCAGCGAGAACCACCCGATCATCTCCTTGCGCTTCATGCTGCGCTTGTTGTACACCGACACCATCAGCGTCACGTCGGGCAGCTGGAACAGCGCCACCTGCGCAGAGGGGGGGGGGCGTCTTGAGACCCGTTCACAATGCAAACATTAACATAAGCATGGCGTTAACATAAAAGTTAATCCATAAGAGGACTCATTCGCAAGGCGTTCGCATAAGCATGACACGTAAGACGTTAAAGCTTGCAAGCTTCGAGCTTCTGTGCTTATGCTTAAGTAAGACAAAAGAAATGAACCAATCACAGTACGGTAACTCAAAATCGAGAATCGAAATAGGATCTAAGTTGATAGACGAACTAACGCCTTGTAACATCAGTCAAGGACACAATCGATAGCTCGAAATTGATTCTCACATCCAACCAATAGTAAACTACAATATCTCACAGCCAATAAAAACTCTTTATTTTGCTTACGTTTATTTATTGTTTACGTTTACGTATGTTCATTGTGAATACTTCAGTTCATCAATTACGTTCATGTTTTCGTCTATGCGTTATGCTTATGTTTACGTTTGCATTGTGAATGAGCCTTTAGTCTTCCAAGTTCACCCTGGGATGGATTAAGGGGACCCAAAATGTCTTATCCGGTCAATGTTAATGAAAGAAACATTTTCTCAGAAACTATTTAATTTACAGTCTTGAATCATTATGTAAGTATAGATTTATTATTTATTTGTATTTTAATGAACCCATTTAAAAATACTGCTTTTTTAAATATAAATGTGTATATATACATATAGTAATTAGTTAAATATATTAACATTTATAATATTGTCTAAAGTATTTTACATTTTATAAATACGCCCCATTGAAGTATACTAACTAGTGTGCTTCATGCTCTTAAAATTTGAGCATCATTCTATTGCTAATTTTTGAGAAAATGTTTCCTAAAGAGGAACATTTTTAACTTGGGGGAAATGGCTCCTAAATTTTTCAGAGCATTCCTGGTCCATATGCTGGGCAAACACACACAAACATGCCGAAATTTGAACGCTATTCAACTCTGAGTTGTTACCAGAAACAGCGAGTCCAAAACTAAAAAGCAAAATATTAACCGTTTCTCACATCGAAAGCTGAAAGGAACAATCAGCAACACCCACGATGTGTCCTGTATGACAAGCCCACTTCTACGCCACAAACTTCAAAATTAAAAAAAATACTTTGATATGACTTATTAAGATGACGGTGAATGAATTAATGAATTTAATTAACTATAAATTAATTAATGAATAAAAAAGATACAAACTATATTTTCATCATTTTGGCCCATTTTGGCTTCCTAGTGAGGATGACGGAGAGGGGTCTCAGATGTCCATTGATAATAGATTTTATTAAGGTTTCAAGTTTAAAGAAGATGTTAACCATTGATATTGTTAATGATCTTCCTTATGTTCAAAAAATAATTTAATTTAAATGTGTAATAATTTGAATTAGTACAGCGGGTTTGGCTGCGGATAAATGAAATTCGGTGATATTCACGGGAAAACTGAACATTAAATATGTGGAAAACGGAACATTTATATAAACTATAATTGTTGAAAATACTCGTATTTTAAGTGTTAATGTAATATAAATAATGTTATATAGTTTTTTTATTAAAATTAATCGGCTTTTATTAATATAAATCAACCTTCATTTGACATACAAATATAAAATGTTTCTTCATTAAATACTAATATTGATGCAGGAAAGAAAGTAATACATCAAGGAGGTATAAAAATTTAGTAATTTATTAAAAGCGTCAAAAACATCAATAAAAAGTTAAGAGATGGGCTTTAGATCCCCCGTTTATAATGCACGGAATCATTTATTCCACTATATTGGCAGGGTTAATAGTCCCATTCCAAAGCCTTTTCGGTATCTGGGGGACACCAGTGTGTGTGTGTGTTGTTGTTGTTTTTGTGTGTGGTGTTTGTGTGTGTGTTCTGTGTTTGTGTGTGTGTGTTTGTGTTTGTGTGTGTGTTTGTTTTGTGTGTGTGTTTTGTGTTTGTGTGTTGTGTTTGTGTTGTATGTGTGTTTGATGTGTGTTTTTTTGTTTTGTGATTTGATCTTCGTATGTCCGGGTGTTGTGTTTGTGTGTGTGTTTTTGTGTTTTGTGTTTGTGTTGTGTGTTTGTGTGTGTGTGTGTTGTTTGTGTTCTGTGTGTGTGTGTGTGTTTGTGTGCTGTGTGTGTGTTTGTGTGTGGATGTGTTTGTGACTGTGTGTTGTGGTGTGTTGTGTTTTTGTGTGTGTTTGTGTGTGTGTTTTGTGTGATGTGTGTTTGTGTGTGTGTGTTTGTGTGAGTGTGTGTTTGTGTGTGTGTGTTTGATACTGTGTGTGTGTGTTGTTTGTGTGTGTGGTTTGTTGTGTGTTGTGTTTGTGTGTGTTTGTGTGTGTGTGTTTGTGTGTGTGTTGTTTGTGTGTGTGTGTTTGTGTGTGTGTGTGTGTTTGTGTGTGTGTATGTTTGTGTGTGTGTGTTTGTGTGTGTGTGTTTGTGTGTGTGTGTGTCAATGTTGTTGTTGTGTGTGTTTTGTGTGTGTGTGTGGGTTTTATTTGTGTGTGTGTTATGTGCTTTGTGTGTGTGTGTGGTTGTAGTGTTGTGTTTGTGGGGTGTGTGGTTTGTTGTGTTTGTGTGGTGTTTGTGTGTGTGTGTGTGTGTGTGTTGTGTGTGTGTGTTTGTGTTGTGTTTTTGTGTTGTGTGTTGTGTTGTGTGTGTGTGTTTGTGTTTGTGTGGTGTGTTTGTGTTTGTGTGTGTTGTGTTTGTTGTGTGTGTGTTTGTATACTGTGTGTGTTATCTGTGAATGTGTTGTGTTTGTGTGTCATGTGTGTGTGGTTGTTGCTGTGTGTGTTGTTTGTGTGCGCATACGCGATTGGTGCGGCCGCGCCATGCTCCGTGAGAAACTAGAGCAAAATTCACTACGATGCTCCAATTGGACCACTATTCTCTACATCTGTAGACACTAAAATAAGATTTCAAAGTACTTGTGGAGAGGCATGTCTGTAAGACGACGCTGGAGTTACCGTGAAGTAATTTCGCAATCTGACACTCGATTTTTTGTAAACACCCGATTAGCGAATCTTTTACCGAGTTCAGAAAGGTTACTATAACAAAAGTCTTACATGATTAAACAGTAACTCCTTGTCTAAAAGATAGAGGGGGAGGCCTGCTTTGGATCCCCTTCATTGGTTTGCGACTTAATGCAGGATGACATTGACAGAGACATTTCGAGATGTCTCTCTCCCAACTGAATGAATTTTTAATATGTTGTAAGAGATGAAGAATAAGCCATTGGCTGCAGAAAAGAAAAAAAATAGAACACTTTAAGAGGTGAAATCGCTCTCCGAAGGAAGTGACCGAAAGAGGAGATCTCATTATTTCATACAAAAAAATGCAGTATTTTCGAGCAATTACAAAATGCAATGGATCAAGACACATTAAAAATTCGTGAATTATCTATTTATTGTTATAAAAATAATCTTCTTCTGAAGTAAAAAGGCAGACTTCAAAAAATATTATAGAAACTAAATAAAAAAGGAAACATTCTGAAACAAAAGAAGTTATCCATCTCTTAAAAAAAACAACCAAAGCCATTTTACAGTTTTTCGAAATACGCATGTTTTAAGATATCTACCACGAACGTCGTATGTGATTTTCTACAAAGAAAATAGTTTTAGACAATTTATAGAGAAAAGCGTTTGTTAAACATTTATACAATTTCAAATCATAGTCCTTGATTCCACGTAGAATTCACCACGGAAAGCATTTGTGCCAACAGTGTTCACGAAATGGCTATGACAGTAACATTACTACTACCAATATTAACAATATTAATGAAACAATTTAGATTCAAAAGTTAAATGATACTTTCAATGGCAAATGATCTATCCAACAAATAGATTTTGAATATTTAGGGAAGAACACAATAATGAAACTTTACGACTATCGACTATCGAGACGAAAAACCTGAAGTAAATTTGACTTTTACAACGTATATAATTGAAAATGATAGTAGAAACTCTCTAAGCTGATTTATCGTGTTTCCTAAAAGTAATTTCTTTACCATTTTTATACAGCGAGAATGTGATCAAATATATTTCGTTTTCATACATTTCTTCAATAGATCTTAATGAAGAAGTATGAATACAGTAATAAGAAAAATAAGACAGAAGGATATTTAAAGTCGCATAAAAATTTCAGAATATATGATTTGTAGCGTTGGCAACGGTCCGAGAGCGGGGCGTAAAGCCGGTGGTGCGGTGACCCTCAACAGCTCCTGGCTGTAGGCCAGACGCTTTGCTGTGGCGCATCTGCGTGCTGCGGGTTGCCTACTATACGTCACGTCACGGCGCACATGCTAGAGCGCATCCAATGGATAACGTTCCAATTTATGATATGGGAAACGTTTGGCACAATCGTCCTTAAAAATGAGATCAGTGTAACTTCAGGTTACGATACATCTACAGAATAATGTTAACCCAAACACTGGACAAATTTGTTAACCCAAACATTGTAAGAATTGAAGTTAAAAATCCGATGGCGTTCATATGAAATCTTCATCCTCACTAACTTACACACGTAGAAAATATAAGCTTATTTACATATTGGTCACGATATTTGTTAATTTTAAGTCTCTGAAAATACTCTGAAAAAATAAAATTATACTGTATCATGAAATTAATAGCTATCGTTATCATCTGTGACTATCTAAACTTTTACTGATATGGGGAAACGTACATGTAAAGTTTTGAAATTAAGTATACCAATTCTAGCTAATAGGCCATACTAGCTACTGGACAACAATACAAGTTACTGGCCATATAGAATATTGCATTTTAATGTTAAGAATTATACATTTTGACCGATATTGTTCTATTTCAGATGTTATGAGAATTCTAAAGAGATATAACTGTTTCTATACAATTAGAGACTATAGAGACTATACCGACCATCCAAACGGTAAGTAATATTAATTTTAATAATGACATTAGTGTATTATTTATCATTTGGATTGTATAATTCTAAAGAACCTGTAACAAGTATTGTACTTCAGCTTCTGTGTCAATGACCCCCATCTTGTTCAGGTTTTCGACCAGTTTCTCTGATCCTGGAGCAAATGCTGAGATGGCCCCTTGTTTTGCTTCTATACATAAATATAACTTCAAATTAAATTCTCCTCATAGCACGTAACCCACTGTTTTTAACGTAAATAAATGAATATATTAATTTTTCAATGCTAAATAAAGACGGCTTATTACGCATTATAGAGATGACCAAAAAGCTCTGTATTTGCTTAGGAGTAGAATATGTAAATAATATAAACGTAGTAAGTAGGCACACATTAACGTTTAAAAATACGGTAAGTAATTAGTTACGAACATTAGTCAAACACACTGATACACAAAAAATCGAATACAAGAAAGGCTGTCCAAAGGAGAGCATGTTACAGACCTGCATGCAATGCGGTTCATTGGATTTAGAGCCAAATTCGCATTGTATCACGAATTTCCAACAGAAGGCATGAAACCAAATTATGTACAGATTAAAAAAGTGACCCTGTATTCGCCCCTAAACATTCAATGTAGTATTATTTGCTTGATATTTGATTTTTGAAGATGTTCTGTAGTTTCGGTTGATTCGTGTAATGTGCGATAAGCGGAGGACCGTCTCATGCGGAATAAACTTATCAACTTCTTAGCTACTGTGTCATATGTAAACAGAGCCTCACGGTCTTTCCCTTTTACTGGTCGAGTTGTTGATCCACATCTGTCTCTAAAACTTGGCACCACAATAGAAAAGAGTTGCCAAATTCGGATCCCAGAAATCATAGTACACTGTACTCGAGCGTTGTTTGAACGTGTTTAGTACTTTAAAACTGCATACGTGTGGCTTACAAACAGACGACTTGGAATCAGCGGCACACATGTGAGAAACTGAGGCAGTTGCCAACTGCGAACGGAAGTCCCGGCCAAGACTTAAAATAGTTCACATTAACACTGCCGGATATTTTTATTAGTTATTACTGCAACAATAAAATGAATCATTGACAGCTAAGCAGCGCAAATAAGACGTCTTTCATTTATCCACATGCTCTGTTTGTCAACAAATATTTGCGACCGGCTACATTGCATTGAGTATTACACAAAATGTCCGCGTAATGAAGTATTCTTTGGAAATACATAGGAGGAAACAAAGAACAATTCAGGTGGTTTCGTTTTTGTAAAACCACTGTTGAAAATAATATTGCACCTCTAATCGCCGAAAGAAGAAATATAACAAAGAGAGAAGATATTTCATATCTTGTGCAATCTTATGAAAGAAATAAAATTTCTTTATATATTCCAGGTATTTTCATTGCAGATATGCTAAATGCAAATAAATTAGATTACATCATTTTTGGATTGTCTGCGCTGATCTTTATGAAGTCTTCAAAAAGAAAATAGGGCAAATGATCTTTGAATATTCAGAAACGTTGGTACGTAACATAAGAATTTTGTATAGATCGAGATAATTCGCATTTTGAAGTGATACAAGCCAAAATTCTCACATACACAAGCTTTGTAAAATTGCGTTTAATGTCAATTTGTCCACAAAACACATAAGCCAAAACGAAAACGCGCGGTTACCACTGTTAAACACTGATCCAGCTGACGTAAATGCAACGTTTCCGATACCTTAGGAAACACTCTTTTCTGCTCACATAAGAGACGTCTATGAAACAAGTCTCCTTAAGTGATCTCTCATCGTGAGAAACTCCTCATTGCTTAAGCTTATGCTCATTCCTTAAGGATCGACTACGAATTCGGCCCTGAGCGTCGTAGCCTCGCGGTAGCATCGGGAAAGAAAGGTTTTTGAGCGGTGGAACTGCGTTTGTCACTAGTTCCGTGCCGGTAGTGCTTTTTTATACCTGGGAAGATGCAATGTTCCTTCCACGCTGGAACGTGATATCCGACGCCGGCGTACATGTCGCTTTGCGGTGGGTATTCGAGCCAGGTATCTCTTTCACCAGGGCGCCGCCCAACCGGAAGAAGCTCTATGCTCCCAGCTGGTCTTGCGAATTATGTGGCAGAGTACTGCATGCATATATATCAGTAGCAGCCCTGCAGTATATATGCATGTGTGTGTGTGTGTATATATGTGTGTGTATGTGTAAGGGGAGAAGGAGCACAAGGATGCGGAAGGAAAGGTTGCTTTGGTCTGTGACCCGTACGTTTATGTACCGCTCCGGCATTCTCCTGGTATTGATCAGAGAAACCACTGAAAACTATCAGCCCAGTCTGCCACTAGAATTCTCCCCCCAAACAGTCGAAAATTCTCCTCCAAACGCTCTCTGTGAACGCACCTGGAACATGAAAGTCTCCTTGAAGAGCGGGTTGGGCTGGCCGCGTCGCACAGAGGTCTTGGATCGCGCCATCTCCTGCCCGCTGCTGCTCACCAGGCACAGCTTCACGTAGGTGTCGGGCGCGCGCGTCATCGCCAGGTTCCTGCAGGCCACACACACACACGCACACACCCCGGAAGGGGAGGTAAGAAAGCGACAATGGATATCCAGTTAAATATTACAAGCGTACAAAAGTAGAAGAAAACCGATTTCGAATGTTCGGTAACAGATCCGTCAGACATTATCACTACTATGAACCATAATTTTGAAAGATCTCTTGCAAGATGTTAAATATAAAATTCTTGTACGTTAACTTGAAACGTACAGTATGAAAAGTTCTACTTCAGAAAAGTGAGGTTTTGTGTGTTATACAAAGGAAAAAATTGCATTACTACGAATAATTTATAACTACAAATTAAAAGTATTTGTCTCAACCACACTCTCCCTCTCAATGCATTTTAATTGTATGCAAGCCTGTGTATTACTTGAGATACATTAAGTGTATATTTTAATTTGTCTTGAAAATTACAACAAGCACCTTTTGATAGATTAAAGACATAGCTAGATTGTTGAAGCTCAAGCTACTTTCCGCCACCAAGCATTGTTAGATCTTAAGATGTACCTATCGCAGATTTCTTTGCCTGATAAATCAAAAGAAAACTACGCATCTTAATTATTCCGTGTCCCTTCAGTACACTGAATTGAAGATTGTGTAAACGCCTTCGATCTATGCGTTACGAAAGGATGGAATAGTATCGCAGAAAATCTAGAAAATTTTAGCCCGAAGCTTGTGACGAACAAATTATAAATCGAAAGGTAAAATTTAAATTAAATATTAAATTAAGTGCAACAAATGTGCAAAGAATATTATCCACAAAATTACGATACAAGATTGTCGCCACTAAAACCCGTGAATATATACAGGGTAATAAATTAATTCACAGTACGACAAGAATTTGAGAATTTAAACATTTTTTCTTTAAATAAATCCGAGAAATATATCAAATACATCCGAACAAAGTAAGGTTGAATTTCAAAATGTAAAAATAAGTTGCTTATCGCGGAAATGGCGCTAGCGCCGGCTGCATTAACCTGTATAATTACAGCACGAAAAACATTGACCATTACACCGAATTCTGATCCCAGAAATACTATTTTTATAATTGAATTGGCGAGTGGGAAAACAGTACTAGACCAGAAGTTCATTCTTAGATAATCCAAGTTACACTTTTGATGAGGTATGACAAAGAACTGTCGATATTTAAATAATTTTCTTATATTATAAATGTTTTACCAGACCATACGATTATGTTGAGAGGAATAATTGCGATACAAATTATTAACGTCTTTTAATTTAAACAAAACCTGTAAACATGAACTTTTTTTAATCTCAACGAAGATTTACCACCATTTCTTGCAAAATAACCACAAAAATACTACATTTTATTGCTGTAAGAGTGCAAAGAGCTATTATAACAGCTCAAATTTTATGTCGAAACTTCAAGTAGAGGTAATGTGTTATCACCTTTTCTTTTTCAAGACTTTGAGAAAACGCTGTGTTTTGACATTCAATTCACATGGAAACAATTTCATAGAATCTGATAAGTTGTTAGAAATGTTCGTTGGGAAGAATTCTGTTAGTTCTTTTATCTTAAAATTTTCGAATTTGATACCATAAGGTCAGTTATTATGATTTCCTCAGTCATGTCTTGCATGTCTTACATCTGACAATAATTCTAATCAACTGAAAGTGTGATATTCCATTTAAGCTCATGAATGCTCGTTTAGAAAGTTGACTGAATACAGAGGCCTGGGAACGCACCTGGTACATGCAGGTCTCCTTGAAGAGCGGGTTGGGCAAAGATCTTTCAAAGCAAATAACGCAAAATACTGACTCTTCCCTTACTAGCAATTAGAGCATCGCTATAATAACGTGACACTGTCAAAAAAGGTCCTATTTCATCAGACCTACGACTCCAACAGTGATCCTAAACAAGACATCCATACCTTAATGTTCTGTAAAATTCTCTGCGACAATACATCCTTCCGAAGACTACAGTGAGTTCTCTTAAACTTTGGGTAATTCAATAATCTATAATATATGTACCTAATCGAATTGCTGACATTGGCAATTTCAATCTGTCACGAGGTGCCAATGATCGAAACTCTTCCTTGGTAGTTGAGAGACCTATAATTACTCGGAAATTCCACAAAATGTAGTTACATTTTTGTCCAGTTTATTGCAGTTATGCCTTCGTCATTGAAGCATGTCCTGCTCTGTGTATAAACCTGCGTTTCTACTCTACGTTGCCATGTGCTGATTCGTTTTCCGCCAATGTATTTGTCAAACGACAAGCGTCTGGGAATGTTATTAACTCAAAAACACAATATAATTAATTTTAAAATTGTTATTTCATATGATTCAACATTTTGATGCGGTAATTGTGTTTTACCTACTATTTAAATAAATATAATATTATTTGTTTTCGAACGCCATATGTGTCCCCAAAAATATTTTTACGTCCTTGGATTACATATACCCCTTACTTTTCGACTGTAGTTGGCATTCTCAACGTATAACACAAGAATTCACAAATCCATCCCCTTGAATGTTCTGTGTTTGTCCTTGGGGAAAACCTAGTAGGGACGGAGAAGAGAGGTTGCGCAAGGGCCGGGGTCGCGACCACTCACCGAAAGTGGCTGCCCTTGACGACCTCGACGGAGAGGCGGCCCGTGGTGCCATTGTAGGCCAGCCCCAACAGCAGCTCGGGCACGCCGCCGTGCTGCATCGACTGCGTGGACCCCGTGCTGTCGGAGCGCGCCAAGCTGCGCAGGTCGCTCACCGACGTGCTCTGCGCACACGCACACACACACACACGTACAGAAATTGGTTCTAGGATTGTACAAATCAACTAAATTTTCAAAGCAGGAACAAATAATGAAACACGGTATAAAAGTCTGTACAAAGTGTAGTTCGATGTTAGACGAAATCTTTCTTGGAATACCCACGATATAGTATTATTAGCACAATTAGAGCATTCTTGGCCAAGCTAAATCTCCCCGAGTTGTCGAAGTGCTCCAGCTGGACAGACAGGTTGCTTACCGACGTGCTCTGCGCAGACGCCACCAAGCAACGAAATTGCAACGAAGGTTATACAAATCAACTACATCTTCAAAAGAGAAACAACGAATGAAAACTTGGTTCACTACTCAATACGAATTGTAATTGAAGGTTGGAAGAATTGATTCTTGGAATGCCCACGACATCTTTTGCAATCTAAAGGTCTGGGTACTGCATGATGAGCTTCCCCATAATATTATACCATAACTCAGGCTGGAATGCACATTTTCAAAATACACACAACGAGCTGCACGAAGGCTGACTGAATTCGAAATAATTCTGAATACGTAACATAATGAGCTTAATTTAGTGTTTAATTCTTTTATATGTACATTCCATTTAAGGTTTGATTGAATTGAGAGACCTCGAAATATGGTTACTTTAACATCAGCTAATTGCGTATTGTTCATTTTCAATGAAGTAGGCGATTGCTGATTTGAATAGAAAAAATGAATTGAATAATATTAACCACACATGTTTATAAATGACTAGTTTAAGTAATTATCTGCACTAAACTTCCATAGAATTCGGAAATAAGTCCTAAAACCATCCT